TACACTTGAACAGATAACACTATGTAAATGACATTAATTTATGTCTATACTACTAAAATACATAATTTCCCCTACTTAATAAAAAAAAAGGCACCAGTCATGCTGATGACTGATGATCTACATCGTGCAAAATCTCCAACTAAACTTTCCGTAATACTGCTTTCTATCTCAATATAAACTAATATACATTTATCATCACACCTAATGACAGAGAGACAATTATATTACAGCAGCAACCCCACAGCATAATATGCTCATTTTGAAGATGAGAACTACAAATTTAAAATGAGCATTCAAAAGACAGAATTTACAAAATTCTGTCATACAGTCTTCATTACTAATGGCTGTAAAATACAGCAAGGTGTTGGGAGATAAATCTGCATTCTTTAGCTCAAACTTCCTCAGAGCCACAAAAAAAAAATTTCTAAGAAATTATTTTATTTAGGGTTCTAAAAATCAGAAGAGAACAAATTCCAGGAAAAAGGCAAGAAGTAGAAGATATAATAAGCTCAAAAGCCACACAAACCAGTAGCTATCTCTTATGACCTAAAGAGTTTTCCAGGACTTCCATCTGTAATAGCTAGTTCTTACATACCATTGACAGAAGATACTCTACTTCATGTGTATCGACAATTTTAAACAAATGTGAAATTCAGTTGCCCTCCTGTGTTTCCAAAGGATCTGTTATAAGCCTTAGTGATGTCTTATGCATACAGAAGCAGATGCCCTCTGCAGTAACCATCCAAGACCCTGTGACACAAGCTGTTTTGTGAAATCACTTCTTGCTCAGGATGTTTGTAGTCTAGGTTTAAAATGAGCCAGGACAGGTGGAAACACCAACCAGAAGGAGAGGCCATAGGAGATAAGGTAACAAGAAGAAAATAAGCATTACTGTAAAAGCATCACCTGCCTAGACTTCCACTACTATATACTTTGCCTTTTACATTATCATTAAGGATGCAGTACTGTCACAGTTTTACTGTATATAGAGTAACACTATAAGAGTTATGGTTATTCAAAAGTACAAATGTTTAGAAAACTTCTCCAAGATGCTCAGTTTGGCTCTTTCATTTTACATATCCTCAGTCAATATTCTTACATTTGTCCACTCTGGAGAACTTCTACAGAATATATTTCTAAACATCTGTTCAGGTTCATATTAGCAACACAAGTACGAAAGAAGAGACATCCAACCAAATAAAAGCTTTCTGCGCATTGCCTGTTGGTCTTAAAGACAGCAGACAGCAAATTACTAGTGCCCACAAAAGAATTTCTGCTGCTTTTAATATACAGTGAAGAAATGCAAAATTCTTTTTTCCTCCACCCATCTCTACACTAAATAATAACCAGGATGCCCCTACCCAGCACTTGCACAAATACAGGCTTTCCAGCTGCAGCATATCTTGAGGATACTTGATAGGTCTTCCACACTTCGCTAACCCCAGTATGTACTCCAAGAACAGCCTCCCAAGGGTGCATATCCATGCCTAAAGTGAAATGCTGCATTACTGAAGATAACCTTTGGAAGAAAATAACTGCGCTCACCCTCCTGAAAAGCAGAGGGCATGCACATATGTAGTGGGCCATACAGACAACACAGAGAGGTATGCTTATGTTATGTGGGTTTGAAAGTCTTTCTCTACTTGGTATTTACAGGCATAGCGTGACAACTTACGCTGAGTTAGTGAAATCTCTCAAAGATACACTCCAGAAACAAGACATGGCTGCTTCTAACACATGAGCACTAGGGAAAAGGATTAGGGAAAGAGGACTTCTTTATACACCGCAAAGACAAACATTTCTAGACTTCATGATGCAAGTGGAGTCACTACTAATGCAAAAGAGGCCTTTTACCTTCCAGTGCATTAATACATGTTTTTATATATAGCAGACCATATGTACATCAGACAACTCTAACTGTACTGGACACTCTAAAATCCAACATTATAACGCAGCCAGCCTCTATCATCAGCAGCTGTCTCAGTGGGGATCTAGAAATTACAGAAGACATTTTTAAGCAAAATACCGAATTCCAAGCAGGAACCAAGAGAAACAATCCATAAATGTTAAATTCCGCAGGTTTTTCATAAGCAACTTTCCTGAGCACCTCAGCGCAAGAGAGACGGGGCTAGGCACTTCACCCCACGCAATAACGGATGCAGTGTTAGCCGCCTGCTCCTCTCGTGTCCCGCGTTTTCGGGAGGAAACGCTTTTTAGCACCGGTGCTCGACTAGCCAGCCTGTGCCCAGGAAACCCTCCCGCCCGCCGGTCCCGGCGCACCTCGCCCCGCACCGTGTCCCCTGCGCGGAGCCTTGGCAGCCCGCTGCGTGGGGGCTGCGGGCCCTCCCCCCACCCGTGGGGCTGTCCGGGCCACCTCCGCTCGGGATGCCAGCGGCCACATGGTTACTGCTCCCGCCAGGTGGGAGCGGGCACGGAGCCCGGCGGGTCCCGCCGGCCCGGCCCGCGCAACGCACAATGCCGGGCGGGCTCGGGGCGCGGCCGGTGGCTCGGCGGCCACCCCTGCTGGGCGGGGGAGAGCAGAGCCTGCCAGGCGGTCCGGATCAGCGCCGAGCCCCCAAGAACCGGCGACCCCCGCCCGTCGGGCCGGCCGGGTACCCTCCCGGGGCCTCGCAGACAATAGAGCCAGCACCGTGGGCCTAGTCCCCGGTTTCCTGCACCGCCCCACCGCCACACGCCCCCTCCCCGGCCTGGCGGCGCTGTCCCGCGGGCGCTCCCGGGCGGGACGGGACACCGCCGGGCCCAGGGCAGGGGGCCACGGCCGCGCAGGCACCGCCGCCGGCGCCGCTGATGCAGAACCCAGCAACGGCAGGTAAGAAGGGGGCGGCGGGGATCGGAGGAGAGAGAGCCAGACCGCCCTGCCCGGCCCCTTCCCGGTGCCGGAACGATGCCACTCACCTCCCCAGGCAGCCGCCGCAAGGGAAGCCGGAGATCGCCACCGCCCGGCCGGGCCCGAAGGAGTTAAGAGGAAAGGCCGAGCAAGACCGTCCCATTCATTAGCCGGGCGCTTTGTCTGCGGCGGCCGCCGTCGCCGCGGCGCTGAGCAGGCTGCCCCGACTCGGTCCAACGCGCGGCGTCCTGCGCAAGCGCCAGGCGTGGGGGGAGGTGCTAATGAGCGGCCGCACGCACGACGCACAACATGTCATCCGACAGCAGCCCGCAAAATGGCTGCTTCCGGACCGCGAAGTGCAGGAGGTGGCGGGGCGGTTCCGTGCCCGGACCGGGGCGGCTGCGGGTGGCCGGGTGTCTTGCTGCGCCGCCCCCCGGCGGGGTCGGGGTGAGACGCGAGCTTTCTCTGCACAGGCGCGACATGGCGGGTGCTCGCTCCGCCCGCTTCGTTCCTGGGGCGGCTGAGGGAGGCGGCGACGGCGTGCTGGGGGTTCCTGCGACACCCCAGGCCCCGGGGGGCCTCCCGGGGCCTCTATATGGGCGGCAACGCCTTCATAGGGAGGCTGCGGGAGGAACGGCCGTACCCGTCTTCGCAGCGGGGGCGGGCATGCAGTGCCGGGAGCTGGGGGATGGCGGGCGGCAGGGCCTTCGCTTCAGGCAGTGTCGCAGCCTCCCCCAGCCGAGTCCCGAAGGAGAGGCCTTCATAGGTGCTGGGGCGTGGGTATGCCCCTGCTCCGAGCACAACCCTAACCGTCTCAGGAATTTAGCCTCTATTATGCATATTTAGTTTTAAAGCATCCACCTTGCTATGTATTTGCGGTCTAATGCACGCTAGCTTTGGTTCTGGGCACTGTTTTGCTGTATTTGCATCCACCATCTGCTTTGGAACGGGTGCTTTGTGGACGCTTCAATTTGATCTGAGTAGCAGCCATCGCAGGGAGGGTCATTTGGGGGTGAAGGATGTAATTTGTGTCAGTTCAGAAAAGCAGTGACTCACTGTGTGCTTGAGGTCTTGTAATATTTCTGGATAAAGCTCCTCCAGTTTTGGTGCTCAGTGATGGGTTGGTAATTTCCTTCTTTGAGAAAGATTGGTCATGGTTGTCAGGCTTTTTGGGTTGTGGGGGTGAAGTAGGGTGGATTTGGTTTTGGGGGGGGAGGTTTTTTAATGTGTGTAATTTCTGCAGAAAGCTGGGTAAAGACGTGATCTGGTGAGACTTTGACACATAATTCCCAGTGGCAGCTGCTGGTCATACTAACTTGTATTTTACAACAGCACTGGTTTGGAAACAATGCTAATCTTTAGACTAGGACAGTGTTTAAAGAGAGAAATAGAGCTGAAGTAAGTATACTTGGGTTTTGATCTGAATTATTTTCAGTTAATCGATTTCTTAACTGAACAAATTTAATCGATATATGGCAATACATGAAGTCAGTTGATTAGTTTTGATTAATGGAGCTCTTGAACATTCTTCTACAGCATTTGTATGTTTGTACTTCTATAGTACTGGTTTGGTCTTCCACATGGGTGGTGCCAGTTACCATAAAGTAAGTGATCTATTATAGTTAATGCTTCCTTTGAAAATCTCATGTCAAGTGGTTGGGTTTTGGTTGGGTTTTTTTTTCCCTGAGCATGCTACTGAGGCACTGGCACAGGTTGCCCAGAGAAGCTGTGACTGCCCCACCCCTGGCAGTGTTGAAGGCCAGGTTGGATGTTTTAGCAACTTTGTTCAGTGTGAGGTGTCCCTGCCCATGGCAGGGGGTTTGGAACTGGATGATCTTTAAGGTCCCTTCCAACCCAAATCATTCTATGATTCTATGACTTGATCAGTTTCCACTGTTAGAAAGTGCATTTATATGATTACAACTACCTCAAAACAAAGTTTGGACTCTAAGAGAGCTGGATAGCTTACTTAAGAAACCTCTATCACCAGCCTGTTGACAGGAAATTGTGGTGCTTATTTAACATGCAATAATAATAATAATAAATAGAAATATATAATCTCATAAAGCATCTTTTAGAGAACTGTAAAATTGTAGCAATTATGTTGACTTTTACCTGGAACGGCATGGTTACACACAGAAACCTGATAATATTAGAATATATAGCTCTTTAACTGCCCCTTTTTAACAGCTGTGCCTTGGAAGAGTTGACCAATTTGTGGTTGAAAATTTTACAGTAAATTAAAAAAGCCTGAAAATTCACTTTGTGCTTTCCCACTGCATGTTGTTCTCTCTGTATGCACCTCTCTGTACCTCTTCATTTTTTCATACATCTTATTCTGAAAATTTCCATAACGGTTACTGATATTTGAGATTAATGAATGTTTCTTTAAGTGATCTCCTAAGTGGCTTCAAAAACAATCGCTGATTTAGTGTATAATCTATAGCTTTATATCACAATTCAATTAAATAGGTGGAACTTTTTCTTATTTTGCAAAAATACACTGGAAACTTAGAAACTAGGTCTTAAAAACCTGCGTAAATCTGAGACCAGAAAGTCTTCTCACAGCCAACCAAGTAATATGAAGAATAAACTCAGGAGCTGATGTTGATCTGGTGACAGGCAATGGAAAGAGTTAACTGCAGTTCCTAGAGAAGGCTCCAGACTGCCGGCTTGTGGTGAATGTAGCAACACTGATGTAGGAATGGTCTAAAGACACAGATTCGCCATAGTATGCAGTCTGAAGTGTTCACATGTGAAAGAACATGGTCATTTGGCAAGATAAATACTAGGAAGGTTTGTGCAAGGCATCTTGACAGAAAGAAACAAAAATGTTTTCTATTTAACTTCAGAAGAGTATTTTTTTTCTGTGTTTTTTCCCATTTACGCCTTTATAAACTTGTTTATTCACAGTATCTGAAACAGATAACATATTTATTTGCATGTGTAACTGAAACTGGTATGAATTAAAAGTGATATGACATTAAATGAATATAACAAAGAGACTTCTTAGTCCAGTCTCTGGAGCAGACTTCCAGTACGTGGGTCATAGAGTCATAGAATAGTTAGCATTGGAAAGGAACCTTAAGATCATCTATTTCCAATCCCATGCTATGGGCAGGGATACCTTACCCTACAGCCTGTTACGTTTTGTAGATTATTGTAAAGCTAAGAGAGCATGCTCCTAAAGAAACTTGAGTTCTCTGAAGAACAGGTGTTACAGGTTCAGAGAAGAAGGAAATGTCACTGCAATAACCGTAAGTATCCAACTTTCTGTCATTCTCAATATTGGTGTGTGCACTAAACTCGGAAGGCTCCCAGGGAGGGTATAATAAGAGTTTAAAACCAGTTGGAAACTAGATTAAAATCTTGTATCCCTTCCTAGTGTGACAGAACTTAAAATGTGCCTTAAATATACCTATTTCTCTGTTAATATTATGTGATTATTGTAGATGTTTAGCTGATGCAGACAGAGCTTTGTGTTCCGACGTTCCAAAGTCTCTTCAGCCACTGAGTCACATTTTAATCTGATTTTTTTGCTACCTTCCATCCATTTCTTTCTTGATAGTAAAGGTAACACAGATACTGCATTCATAAGTCAATGTAGTTCTGTCTTTTTGAATTTATATACCTTTGGAAACATTAAATGTTACAATGGCATATTGATACTACCAGTGCTAACCATTTTTCTGCTCTTTATCTCCAAACCTGCTCTGATAAGCTTATTTTCCTTACTGAATCACTCAAACCTTTCGCTTCACCTCTAGCAACTTCATCATCAGTGGTGCGTTTTCCATATGAAATCATGAAGACAAAAACTATATCAAGAAGTAATAGTTTTTAAGTCAAGCACAAAGAATTGCTGCCTTTTGTATAAGCTGAGGTAATATAGTTAAAATGATCTCTTTTCTTCTTTGTATAGACTGCAGCCTTTTCCAGGACGCTATCTAGACACAGCCAACTTGATCAAAACCTCAAAATAGAGATCAGAAGTACTAAATTTGGATGTTGAATTCAGTATCAGAGTGATATTATTTCTAAGAACACTTAACAAAGGCTAGTAGTTACATATTTAGCATACATACCCTATTAACTTCAGTAGGCACTTGGCTCTGCTTATCAGATCCAAGGTGTCAAGTTGGGTGCTCATATAAAGAACGAGCAATTACACAGTAGTTGTGAGCAACTTTAAGCAGCATTCACTGCCAAAACCATGATGCCTTTGTACTTTTACATAATTATCTCATTTGTTACAAACACAATTGGGTCTAATCTCTTTATAGTCCTGGATTTATAGCACGTCAGAGGTGTACACTGTTGGTTTTTGACTTGGAATTGAGCATATGATAGCATGTTCACAGGACTTACTCATACTTGCCCTTCATGTGCAGCAAGTATGGTGCTGGAATATGTCTTTCAGGAATGCTCAGTTTGAAGTTCCTGTTCTAGCATTTTTTGAGCTTATTGAGATTCTGTCTGCATTATGAAGCCAAATTATGTATCAGAACTGATCTACTTATGTGTGAGCTTGGAAGATCTTTTTTCTTTTTTTTTTTTTTAGCCAGCATCAAGCACTGACTGAAGTGGTAAACGTGGCTGAGATAAAGCAAAGAAAACATGTAGAGCTCATTACTGTTTGTTAAATGATACATATGAGTTGGGTCTTTGAACAGAGGAAGCTACAGGCTGTGTCCAGTTCTCCTGTTTCGGGTTTTTTTGTGGATGTCATGTATTGTGTCTTGCTTCTGACTTAATCACTCTGTTCTTCCTCCCCTGATTTTGATGTTACCTTGCTATGTAGTCTTTCCCCATGTAAATGAGGTTTTAGTTCTGAATGGGCCCATCTATTTGGGGATTTCTTTTGCAGTAAATGACTAGGGATTCTAACAGCAAAGCTTACTCTGTTGCATACTGCCTTAATCATCTGCAGACCAGGTTTGTTCTTTAGAATGAATGAGGATGAGGTAGTAAAGTAATTAAGACTGGATTTGTGTCTCATTGGTGATTGAATTTTAACTTAATTATACTAAGGCTAAAGTATTAACTCATGGTAAACATTGGAGATTGTTTCTTGGAGATACATATTTGTGAGTGACCTAACTAGGAAAACAACTTCATTCTGAGTTTATACTTCATCATATTACACTTGCAACCTTTGTTATTGACAGCAAGGAATTGAGAATAGAGAAATCTCTCAAACAGATTTAATAAATAAAATAAGCCTTATCTATTGTTCAACTTCATGAAGGTGGTAACTTTTCTTGGATTGGATGAAGGCTGTGTAGGGGGTCTTTTCCAGTGAAGAGGAAAGGATCAGGAAATAGAAAAGGATTATCTGAAAGAGTAATAATTAATTTGCAGTAATGTTGTTTTCATGGGTTATGCTGGCTTAAGCAGTTACCTGTGTTTGTACTAAATTAATCAATACCTGATGAGGATAACCAAAGGGAGAAACTGGAAGTACAAATACTGAAATGGATGTTTGATTTGAGAAAAATATTGTGATACTTGTATAGAGAGCACTTTGGTTTCCCCTCACTGTGGCTGCCTTTGGCAAAAATTTTCAATTCACATAGCTGCTTTTATTTGTTGCATTAACTTTTTATAAATTCAGTCTTTATCTGCTGCTAAGGTTTTGTCAGCGCGTCTTGCATAAAAAGAAGTGAAAATCCAATGTAAATTGTTTAGATGCAGTGTTTTGTAATTCTTTGGTAGGCAAGCATGATATTTTTAGAGCTTTTCACATAACAATTATTGTTCTGCTTCTTGATTCCTACCCATTACCCCTGACATTTTGTCTTTGCCTATAACTCATATCAGTTTGTTATGCTATGTAAATTGACAGACATTCCAATTCTGAACATGCAGCTTCTCCTGTCAGCTAAACTAATGATGGTGAATAACTAGGGATGCTGAACAGGCACTGGATTTATTTTCCTGATGCCTCCCTGGTGCTGGCAGTCGTTTTCATCTGATTGTACAGGGAGGCAGTCCTGGGAGCTAAACAGAAACTTGGTGACTTGTTAATGAAGGGTTATGCTGATGGCAGGTACCGTTTGGCAGGAATAGCCTCCCATAAAGACCTTTGCAGGTGGAGTTACTATGCAGAACACAATAAAGGTGCCAAACTGTAAACACTAGGAATTGAATAATTAATGCCAAAGAGGCAATGACAGGAGAGAAGGGGAATACTGTTCCCTTATTTATGGCTTTCTGCTCTTCTGTAAACAGCAACGTTATTACACATAAGAGTGCAAATAACTCTGCTCCAGGGGTTTATGTGTGATAAAATAATCTCCAGTAGATAGCAGTTTTGCTATTTAGAAGATCTGCAGGTGAGTATATGGGCAAGTTTCGTGCTTTTGTTGCAGCATTTTGTAATTTGGGCATTGTGTTGAACTGTAGTTTACATATGCTTTCATGTATATCCTAATACTGAAGGTTTTCATTGTTTATTTTTTTAAATCTTTGCAGTGTCCATAGGGGTGAGCTCAAGCTTTGCATTGCATTATACAACACTGAGGAGCACATCTGGTTGACAGCATCTTGTAACTGCAAAATCCCAAATGTACATGATGCTAAAAGGATTCAAGCTAGATAGTGGAAGGGTAAGTAAGGCAGGAAGTAAGTTTCCTGTCAGTTGTGTATCTCAGTGATGTGCTTAACATATCTTTCTGTCTGCAAGTGACAGTCTACGTACCTCTTCTTGCAGTAGGTGACTCCAAGAAGTAATTGCCACAAATGCTTATATGGAAATGGGGTGAGGGCTTTGTGTAGCAGCTGTACAGCTTGAAGACCACTCTGTCAAATGATCTTTAGGTATTATCTATAGATAACATTCCATAGGACTGCTTTGCAGATGCAGCTCACAGAGTTATTTCTTAGCAAGCACAATGATGTTGCTTGAGTTCTTGTGGAGCTCTGATGATAAAAAGGCCCTGTCTTTATCAGTACCATAAAAGGCATTGACACAGCCTGCAGTCTATTTTAAAACTCCTCTTTCAGTGAAGACCCTTTGTTTGAATTAACAGGAGCTGGTTTTGGAGGCCTAAAAGGTCATCTTATAGAAACACTTTGATTCTGAGGATGAGAAAGATGGCACGTGTAGGAAGTAAGAGTGAGGCTATGAGGCAAAGATCGTCAGTTCATTAGCAGCTGGTCAACATGGATAAACACTGATAATCACCCTTTTGTCATAATATGGCTAAAAGTCCAGGATCAGAGGAATGAAAAGGAAAATGCAGACTATTCTTTCTAACCAGAGAACAAGGGAAATATTTAGTAAATGTGTAAGGGTAAAAAGCACTAACACTTTTCTTTCATATTAGAAGCCAAAATGTTGATCTCTGTTCTGGAATTGTCATCTAGGACTTTGGACCATATATCCCACTCAGTTTAGTATGAAAAAGAAGTCAGCCTTTCTGCCAAAGTACCCGTGATAACTAGGAGATTGATCAGTGATACATAGATTTGTCTTTATATAGAGTAGTTCACAAAGATGAGCTGAGAGATGGAGAGACACTACACCGCCTCACAGAGTGAAGATAAACAGCTGTGATTTTGTTTGTCAACATACTGCTCTTATGTGTGTTTTGGCAGGGTTGCAGCATCTTTTCCACAGTGCATGCTGTCCTGGGTTCTGTGAGGTTTGGGAACAGCCCTTCCTTTGAGAAGAACCAGCCTTGCAGAGTCATGCCTGTGAATACTTCACCAGTGCCATATATCACAATTGATGAGGTGAGATCGAAAAGCATCCCCTTGCAGGATGAAAGGACCATGGTAATGTTCTGTATCATGAGACAGTATTCTGGAGGGGAATATAAATCATGCATAGAGGAGTTTCAAGGTGTAAGTTGTTCAGTGACTTGAAAATAGATTGGCTTGAGGCATCATGCAGAGGCATCATATGACTTAGCAAGGTCAGGCAGATCTGTCATTGTGATAGGAAGAAGACTCACACACATATGTTGTGGCAGTCTAGAACCTGTCTTGAAATTGGAAGTTTCTTGCAGGTTCTAAAGCATGTGTGGAGTGGGCTCTGCCACTTGCTTGTTCCTTCACCAGCCAGCTGTTCTGACCGGGAGAGGGATACAGAGTTCCATTCAAGGAAGATCAACACCACTGCCAGTGTTTAGGTGCTGCAGTTGATCTTTACTAATCTGTAAAACAAAGGTGATAATATGTAGCTGATACACTTTAGAAATGTGTGTGAAGGTTAATACTGCAAGGAAAAGAGAGGAGGATGCTGAAGCAGTTAAATAGCATTTGGGGTTTTTTTAATGATCTGTACTTCTTGAAGCATTTCTTTTGAGAATTTGATAACTGGTGCAAGTGAAAGCTGGTAGGCAGAAGATTCTCCTTCTGTAGACGTCTTCCATGCAGGGTGAATCAGCAGTGGCAGCTTGAATGAAAACTTGACTCTGCCAAGTAGGGGTGAGAAGATTCTGATGGACAGGGCCTGAAGCCACATGCTCATGTTGAGCTAGTGCCACGCAAGGTAGTGAGGGTCCTGCTGCCAGCAAATTGTGGTTCAGAGGGACAGTTATTTTTTGCTTTAAGTTGTATGGTATCCCAATAGAATTATTTCTTCCTTGACCAAAAGTAGAAAGAACTCTATTTCAAGGCACCATGTCTTACCTGTGAGATGAAGAAGGCAAAGGAAACATATCCTTCAGATTATAGAAGCGTGTGTGGAGGACTGGTAAGATGCCCCAGATGTTCTGAAATTTTGAAATAATTCAGACTAACATACTAATATTTAATGAGGAGAGGCTGAGGATCCTAATCTGGTATCCTGTCATAAGGTCAATGAGAAATGACTTGAAAGTGTAAGGCTCCTGATACAGAACTACGTGTGGAGCCTGCCCTGATCTTTGTGCCATTGGCCTGAAGGTCCATATCAAGGCGTGACATCTGTTCTGTGCCAGAGCCTGAACCATCTGTAGCAAAACCTCCTCTCCTTCTTACTGTGAATAATTGAGAGGATCTAGAACACGGATGAACCCTGCCTGCATGTTTTAATAATCTGAGGTGGAGACACCATCTTCAGTATGGCAACCAGGAAATGAAGCTCAGCAGTTCCTTGAAGCTCTGTAGAGAATCTGAGGAGCAGGGAGGCCTATGTGGTTCAGAAACTTTTCAGCTCAAATCTGTTAGGTCAGGTTCTGGCACTGTACCATGCTGCTGTGATTGATTAAGGCTGTGCTATGAGTCCTTATTCAATAGGTTGTGGGAATCAATGCAGCCACTGTCTTTTTAATGAAATAATTTTGGAACCGCCACTTCCTGGTTTTATCGGCATGAAGGTCAAGATCTTACACCTTATGGATGGAGTGCTTTTGCCAGATGTGCCCTGTGCACATGGCAGGCAGAGCTGGAAGGTGAATCTCAAGAAAAGTCATGTAAGTAGAGCTTACTAAAGAGAATAAATAATGAATTTAAACTACATAAAGATGTTTAAATAATGCAATATCAATAAGGAACACTGCATTATCAGAGGGATGTCCAGCTCCAGAACAGTCCTGTAGTCTGCCTGAGAGAGAAAAGGACCTGGAAAGACACCGGACTTAGTTGCACATCAGATGTGAGAGTATGGATACCATCAAGTGCCCTGTGGAAAACCTGTCTCTAGTTCTAAAGCATTTGTACAGCTGCAGGGCAGATACACACATGGATTATCACTTAAAAGATAACACATTTGCTACCGTAAATAAGATTATTAGCTTCTTGACAACATTCATAATTTTTATATTTTGTGAACTAAAGGTATATGATTTAGTATGCTGCTCTAATACTTTCTGCCGTTGAGCTGAATTCCAGAGCAACACTGCTAACTTAAATCAGACTTCTGAGACCGGTGGTAGGACAACTTAAGTGATACTGTCAGAGAGTAATTCCTCACAGCCAACTACACAAATAACCAGACAGCCTCTGCAGCTCATACAGTCTTTTTTTTATTGGAATTTGAAGTTACTGTGCCTATCTGATCCTAAAGGTTTGTTTCCACACTGAGGGGCAGTGCACTCAGGTTTTAATAGCTTCTGGTTTGTTAAGAGGTCAGTGTGCTGGATAGTCCGTGACGGGGAAAAAGGAGTTGGAAAGTGCCCATTCTACAGGATTTCATTAGCAAAGTTACTTAAGTTTTCTGGACCTTCACTCATTCTTTACAAGTAATGACAGGTGTATCTATTTCTTATTTGCTAGACATTTTTTTGTAGGACCAACTGCTGTTTGAGGCAAGCAGCACAGTAGTACTAGAGAAAATGTAAAAATTAATTGGTAAGCTGTTCTGAAGAAGGCTTCACTTACAGCTGTTACAGATGCGCAAAGAGAATCATACCTGCTCCTGACACTTTGCTGCTTACTGCACCCAGGACTTGTAATGCATAATTGGCGAAGGCAAGTATTTGTCTTGGGCTGGGCTGGCTGAACGTTGCTTTTAAGCATGTGGGTGCAGCTGCCTCGCAATATATTGCAGCAAAATCCTCTACATCTCGAGTACGGCTGTAATGGCTGTCTAAAAATAATACATAACAAAGGGTGGCCTCAGGGAGAGACAGAAATAACTTGTCTTGCTTTTGGCAAAAAGTACGGCTATTACCGATGAATTTACTAGCAGCCCCCTGACCCCGAGGGCGCGCAAGAGCCAGCTTCCAAGCAGATTTTCTGTGTGCGAACCTCGAGCTTGGACCTCCCCCAAAGAAATAATAAATACCACTCGCTTGTAGTTCTGAGCCGTGGTTTTGTAACCAGCCGCGTCCCGCCCTGTCGCCCCTTCCCGCGCTCGGCCGTTTCAGCGGTCTCGCTGGGGGGGCAACGCGCCGCTCCGGCCACCGCGTTCTTGCCCTGTCCCCCGAGGTGAGGCCCGGCTCGCCCGGCCGCAGGGCCCCGTGCAGCGCTCCGCCATTCGGGGCCGGAGGAGCGGCTGTGCGCAGGTCCCGCCCCGCGGCGGCGGCGGGGCTGGGCGGTGCCTGGCGCCCTCACGTCCCTTCACTCCCTCCTCTCCTCCCTCCCTCTCTCCCTCCCTCCCCCCCGTCGGCGCAGCGCTGTGGTGAAGCCGCATTGTTTGTGCCGAGGGGGGAGGGGAGCTTCTCAGCCCCGGGAGCTGAGCGCCGAGCCCGCAGCCGGACCGCGACCTGCGCCGCGCCTCACGAATGCGCCGCGCCCGGCTGCAGCAGCAGCCCTGCACCCAGCGCCGGGTCGCCGCCGGCAGCGCGGCTCCCTCAGCGCCCGCTCGGCTGCCCGCGGCTGCCGGACGCGGGACCAGGCGGCAGCGCCGGCGGGACCTCCGCCATTAAACCGGCCGCAGCGTCGGCCGCAGCGGCGGAGAGGGAGGTCTGTCAGCCGCGCTTCGGCGGCTCCCACAGCGTGAGTGAAGCCGGGCGGGCGGCGGGGGCCGGCGGGCGGGTGGGGGCTGCGGGTCTGGGAGCCGGTAGGTGCCGTCGCGGGGAGACTGGAGACCGGCGGGGGGAAGGGGTTAGGGGAGGGCAGGGAGGACTGGGCACGGCGGCGGTGGGGGAGAGGCGGCCGAGGGGCGAGGCGGGCGGGCGCGGAGGCTGCGCGGGGGGGAGCGGAGCGCGGCGGTCGGGGGCAGGGCGCCGCTCGAGCTGTTTTATCAGCCGCCATATTGTGGGCCGAGTATTTTCGCGGAGGGGAGGGAGGTGACTGCTGGGAAGGGCTGGAGATGATGGGCCCGGGCAGGAACCATCCTCCGGGGGGCCGGCAGGGGGGAACGCCGGGGCCGGGCAGGAACCATCGGCGCGGAGGGGTGGGAGCGCGCTGGAGGCTCCCTGGGCGTGGGCAGGAAGTGCTCGCACAGGACCGGAGAGGGCGGGCCCGAGGCCGCGGGCGGGCTCCGCGCTGGGTGGGGGCCGCGCCGGTAGCGGGAGGGGCTCGGCCCGACTCGGCTCAGGTGATGCTGCGTGCGCCCCAGCTCCTGGCATTGCCCTGAGGGGATTTATGCTGCCCCGCGGCTGAAGTTGAGTGGTGTCCGTCCCGTATGCTTGTAAGCCCTGTTTGCTCACCCCCTTCATTGTTTGGGACTAAAGAGCATTCCTGTGTCTTTCTCTTTTTAATGGTTTGCATGAAAGTGTCCATTGAGAATGGAATTCCCTTTTCCATTGAGCAGGGGATCCAGGGACCAAAGGCAGTTTATTTGAAGAGGAGGAAGGTAACTAGGACAGTTTGTGAAAGGAATTTGTAATAAAAAAGTACACGTTGTGTCACTTTTCCTGTTCGTTTTAGCTTCCCTGCTCCTTGGTATAGAGTATTTTTTGCCTCATGCCGTGTGTTCCACACAAGCAGCAGTTTTGGTATACTTCTGTTGTTAGGGAAAGCGTGTGCTGGTGGCTTTCTTTGCAAGCAGCTGATGTAATTCCTAGAGGAAAGCTGTGGATAACTTTTCCGGTTTATCTTCTGCAGCCTTTTGAGTTGTTTTAAGAGGCAGAAAAGTACATTAAAGTAATTTCGTTTTGGTGTCAGTGTGGTATCTTTTTTCATGCTGAATGGAAATTATCTCAGTTTACTCTTTTCCAAACCTGGATCTATGGTCTTCATTCCTGTCAATCTGCAAGGTACTGCAGGGGGAAGGGAAGAAAGATACTTGATTGTTAACTGGGAAAAGCAAGCCAATTGCCAGTCATGAATTTGTTATGCAGAAATCCTGTCTTCACCCAGAACATTTATAGGAAGTTTGCAAACAGAAGGATTTTGCAGAAAGAAAACAAAACAGTACTTTGGCTTCCCAGGCATTTAAGGTATTTGCACTCAGTTTCTATGAAATTTGGTCAGAGTGCTACCAGTCATAACTCTGTGCATTGCATCGTATTTGTAGGGTATCCGTTCTGCACTTAACTGTGACTGTAAATTGCTTCCTAATTTAGCTTTATTAACAGATAAGTATTATAGGGGAGATGCTTAGATGTTAGTTTATCATTTTTTATCATTCTTGATCGAACAGTTTGACTTTTACAATAGTAGTCTTAAATCCTTAAGCAAGCACACTTGTGCTTTTGAATATTTTCTTCCTCTTATCATTGCCTGCTTGCAGCCATGCTTCAGAATCTCTTGAGCAGAGGGGGGATGAAGAGCTTGGAAACCTAGCATTAGTGTGTGTTTCTGTGGTACTGGGTTAAGTTCCGTAGCGAAGTGCAGAGAAGTTGCACGAGTTTTTTTGATTTCCGAAGGTTATCTCTCATCTGTGTCCTCCTTATTTGTTCACAACAATAAACAGAAATCGGGGCCATTGTGTTATCTTTGGTTTCTGAATTGTAAAATGTGTTGTGAAACTGGGAACTAACTTTTAGTTTCAGTTAAACTATTAGTATGCCTTTAGCATAACCTTCTGTAGCAGTGTTAGTGGTTTAAAGTTTCTCTGCAGTTAAGAAATCGGTATGTTGTTTTGCAGGATTAAAAAATTAAATATTCCTTTCAAACTTGCTTGAAGAAGTGGAGCCTTTTTTACTCATCTGTTGTTTATATGGAGCAGATCAGAGGTCTGTCATGATTAAACACCGACTGTTGGCTGTGCTTGTGCCATAAAAACAAGTAATAAGAGTTAAGGGTGTAAACGTCAGATCTGTGAGCAACACAATTCTCACATGAATAATAGAAACATTTTAGATTGGGAAAACAAGCACAGTGTGTGGAAGCAAGTAGATAGGACCCTCTCGAGAATTAGTCTTTACACTAGCTGGGTAAATTATTTAGTCTTCCTGTAAAAGGAGTTCCTTCAGCACTTTGAAGGTACATCTTTAGAAACTGGCATCACAGACTAAACAAAAGGCAGGCTACATGGAGTAGTTTATGTGTAATTATTCCAGTCCTTGATATTTCTTCCTGAAACAGATACCCTAGTCTTCAACAGCAGTTGTGTTTCGATCTCTGTTTCTCTGCTATTTTGGCAATACATGCTAACACTAGTTGCATTATTTTAACAATACATGGCACTGACTTGAAGTGAAGGATTGAAATGGTGAAGCCCTAATAATACTTTAGGCCTGTGATTAAAGATCAAGAGTTTTGTTCTGTGGCTGACACTGAATTTTGCTGTTTATTAATGATTTATTAGGAAGAAAGAAGGAAAGGGATAGAACTTTTAAACTTGACCTTATCAGTCGGTATTGGTTTTACAATATTTTCAGCCTTCATAGGAAGAAACAAACAAACCAACAACTTTAAAATGCCAGAAGACATAAGTATGAAAGTTTTTGTGATCCAGATGCATACTTGTCCTAGTCATGTTACCTTGGTGATGGGAGCTGTCTTTTTGTATGGTAGTGGAATGATCTTTTTCCAGTAGGTGATAAACTTTAAAATTACATTAAAGAGCTTGGGGTTGGATTTAAAGACAGGGAAATTTTTATCTGCCCCAGTTCCTCTGAGAAGCAGAACTCTTGAAGAATTTCTTAAAGGAGAAAGGTGCATGTACATGCACACTGACATGCAGGAGTGTGTTTTTGCTGTAAGTCCAGTCTATTTTAGAGGTGGAATATTTGCTAGTTGCAGTTACGCTGCACTGCATGTTAATTGTGTTCTTGTCATTTTGTAATGAATGATAGGCTGGCTAAGAATTGAGAAAAGTGAAAAAGTAAAGAGCTGTCAAACTGCATACTTGACAAATTTGGAAGTATGCCAGTTTTTCTGGCTTTAAGTCTTACTGTAGGAATTGAGTTGTTAATGTGACTGTTTCAGATTGCACTAGAAAAAAAATGAGGGGAAGACTTCTTTTTCTTTTCACAATGATGTTACTTGTTTTGGGGGGCATCTGGAGAAAGTAATCTGTTGCTGTTGGGGAAAAAAAGTTCAGAGTGCAGACACACTTAAGGTATTAGGCATGATTGTATTTAAGTTTTTCTTACAATGTACCTAATGTGAACTTTTTTGTGTGGCACTTCTGAAATGTTTTTTCTTGTGCAGAGGCCTTACTGATAGGTCTCCTGTAGGAGTTTTGTATGAAGGGTTTTGTATAGCTGTGTTTACTTACAGAAGGTGTTATTAGGGAGAACTGTTTATCATTAGGTTAAATTTGGACAAACTGGTGTAAGCAGCCCTATTAAGTAAGGGTAACAGCATTTTTATTTTTAATGAGTAAATAGGTTGGGGGCTATAAAACCAAAGGGTTTTTTTCCTTGCTATAAAAGAAATAGTATTTTAATATGATTGTTCAGAGTTCGTAATATTAACTGCTGCTCTAATTGTAGGTAAACATTACCAAATGAGGAGAAAAGGAAGATGTCATCGGGTATCGGCAGCAAGGCATTCTTCTTCCCCATGCAGTATTAAGCACTCCCCCACGCGAGAAACCTTGACATACGCTCAAGCTCAAAGAATGGTTGAAATAGAAATTGAAGGTCGCCTGCATAGGATCAGTATCTTTGATCCTTTAGAGATAATATTAGAAGATGATCTTACAGCCCAGGAGATGAGTGAATGCAACAGCAATAAAGAAAATAGTGAAAGACCACCGGTATGTCTAAGAAGCAAACGGCATAAAAATAACAAAGTGAAAAAGAAAAATGAAGCTCTCCCGAGCTCACATGGTATACCTGCTACAACAACTCCTCTTCCAGAACCAAAAGTACGGATTGTTGAGTACAGCCCCCCTTCGGCTCCACGGAGACCTCCAGTTTATTACAAATTCATTGAGAAGTCAGCAGAAGAACTTGATAATGAAGTTGAGTATGACATGGATGAAGAAGATTATGCGTGGTTAGAAATAATAAATGAGAAGCGGAAAAGTGATGGAGTGTCAGTTGTTTCACAAAATATGTTTGAATTCCTTATGGATAGGTTTGAAAAAGAGTCTTATTGTGAGAACCAAAAACAGGGTGATCATCAATCTTTAATTGATGAAGATGCGGTGTGTTGTATATGCATGGATGGTGAATGTCAGAACAGCAATGTAATCCTTTTTTGTGATATGTGTAATTTAGCAGTACATCAGGAATGCTATGGGGTGCCATATATACCTGAGGGCCAGTGGCTCTGCAGACACTGTCTGCAGTCCCGTTCTCGGCCTGTAGACTGTGTGCTGTGCCCAAACAAGGGAGGTGCCTTTAAAAAGACAGATGATGATCGTTGGGGACATGTGGTGTGTGCTTTGTGGATTCCAGAGGTTGGATTTGCCAATACAGTTTTTATTGAGCCAATTGATGGTGTCAGGAACATTCCCCCAGCCAGATGGAAGTTAACGTGCTACCTCTGTAAACAGAAAGGTGTTGGTGCCTGCATCCAGTGCCACAAAGCAAACTGCTATACTGCATTCCATGTGACGTGTGCTCAAAAGGCCGGTCTATATATGAAAATGGAACCTGTGAAAGAACTAACTGGCAGTGGGACAACATTCTCTGTAAAAAAGACTGCCTATTGTGATGTACATACTCCACCAGGTTGCACACGGAGACCTCTAAATATTTATGGAGAAGCTGAAATAAAAAATGGTGTTTGTAGAAAGGAGGGATCTGTCAGAACTGCTAGGTCTACATCAAAAGTCAGAAAAAAGACAAAAAAAGCCAAGAAAACTGTGGTTGAACCCTGTACAGTTATGCCAACGGTATCTGCTCCTTATATACCCCCCCAGAGGTAAGCAAACCATCCAAGTGAGAGAAACCCTTACTTAATTACCTGTTTAATTTTAAACCAGTGCTTTCACAAAACAGTTTGAAGTTTCCGTGCTTTACTTATATGCTTTCTTTAAAGGCCATACTAAGAGGTTTAATGTTTATTGCATACATTTTACATTTGTGAAATTGCATTAAAAATGCAGTATAATCCCCAGAGAAATCAGTAAGTGGTCTGTCATGTCCTTGGACATCATTTTATTTTTTGTCAGACCAAATCATGTTGTGTGTTCAGTTGTTGTCATCACTGTATGTTGAGAATTAACCAGTGAATTCATAATGGCATGTGGGGTTAACCTTCAGATAAAAAAACAAAACAAAAAACCAGCCAAGCTCAAGGTTATCTGTACTCGTAATTTGGGAATCTGAACTTCTCCTTAGTTTAAAAGCCCCCAGATGGAAATTTCAGTTTGCATATGTAAGATACAAATCATGTCGATCTCCCCCAAGTTAAGTATAAACTTTTACTGTAAGTAGTATAAAAAATCACTACAGCAAGTATTGCCCTTGTTGGGCAAGGAAACTTTTCAGAAGTTTTTTTCTGAATCTGCATTTTTCCTTTTGCAAATGGAGGAGTGCTGACCAAGGCTTGGGTGAATTTGGTACCTTGCAGAGGTTTTTAAAGTTAGAAAGTAAGTGATTGTAAATTAGTTGCTTAGTGTCACGTTAGAGCCTGAAATAAATGGAGCTACAGGGCTATCAAATACCTGCCCAATAACCTGTAAAATGTTTATGTTAGAACAAAATGAATGCATGTCACAAATAGTTTTAATCCTAATCTGTATTTGCTTACAAAGAGTTACACTTCATAAGGAGTTCTGTTTAATGTGATTTTTATATTAGTGTGTCTTTCACAGTTCTTGCAGGAGCTTTTGTTACATGAGTGCAAATTTAAAGCATGGGCACCAGAACTGAAATTGCTTTTTACATGTAACATGCCATATTGCTGTATTTTAACAGTGGTGACTGGGGGGCTGGTAGATGGATCTAGATCTGGTGAGGCTAGTGAAGTGGCACATCAGAAAGCAGTGCTATTTCAGGTGATGTTTTCCTAAGTAATAACAGAATTGGAGCAAAATGAAGATTCGTAATATCGTTATTTCAGGAGTTTAAAAGCTCAGCATGAACTTCAATTATCTTCGCTGTATTTTAATTTAAATGAACAGTAGCATCTCTTCAGATTTCTTTCAGTTAATCTGAGATGCATTTCAACAGTGTTCCTGGTATTTTAGCGATGATGGAAAGCTCTGTGGTAGAAAGATACGGTTTTGGCTTTGCTGAGCATTTGGGACATAATATAATGGGCTAAGATGTGCAGAATTGGATTATTGGGATTAAAGCCAAGTTTGTCCTTACGGAGTATTTGTTTAGTTTGTAGCATTTAAAACATCAGTATGTTTGTGTACCCCTTGAATTCAACTACTGATTTAAGAACGGTAGTTTAGAAAGTTTCTCAAAACAGGAACTGCTTCCATGTGCAGGTTCATTTGGATTGACAGGACTCTGAAGGCTAAGGCAGTGAGGGCTCTTAACACAAAAGATGCTTTATTGAAAGCTGACTCCCAGGTCTCAGGTAGTGGACAATTAAGGCTGGTTAAATTAATCTAAATAATTGCATATCTTGAGACTGCAGTCCTTTCCCATAGTAACTTCTGTTAATGTAAGTAGCTACTTACTGACTGACATTGACAAACAGCCTTTAGTTCTCAGTGGTGTTTGCAAACATCAGATTGATTGACTGTTCTCTGTTATGATTTACTTGGTAAAATGGTATTCTTGTTTAGTGGTGCACTGCAGAAAAGCTGACATTGATAGTAAGCAACTAATACTGTTTTCTAAATAGATACTGTTGTCTTTGGGAGGGAGAAATTGATATTAAGGAATTTGGCATTGTGTTAATTAAGACAGTCGTGATTGGTGGGTGTAGTGTCTTTTTGTTCTGTTTTTGCTTTTTTAAGACCACATAAGAAAGAATATGAACTACATGAGAGTTGAGGATTGGAATGTATGCTCTTTCCATTGGTAACTTTCATTAAAAAAAAACAGATCCTAAAAGGGTAATGTAATTGGTTTTATTTTAAGTGTCATTAGATGCCAGGAACAGAAATATAAAGACTTTTTTTTTTTTTTTTTTTTTTTAAGATTAGATTTCTTTTCAAGGCTGCAGAGAGATTCAGCTTCTTTTTATGCTCAGTTTCCCGTTTGCTGGACACAAGTATAGTTCCTGTATTCTATGTCAGAAGTGTAAAAAAAAGTGGGTACAGTTTAAAACTGTTCTGAAGTTGGGCTTTATTACACATTGGTTGTGTTTAGCTGAGAAGGACTTTTGCTTAAGTACTCTTTGAAAGTGAATGTGCTTAGTCTTGTAAAACTGATACCTGAATTAAAAGCAGAACAGAAGGGTTTGTGCTGCAGACCCAAATCTCAGTTGTCTGATTTTCTTTGGCTGTTCTTTTTAGCCTGAGCAGAAGCTGTGTATGTGTGAGTTAAATACCCATATACCCATAAACTAATAATGAGTGATGTGGACCATTTCATAGCAGTCTTCATTTAAATGATCCCTTTAATGTTTTTCAGTGCTTTTTTTCCCTTGGAGTTGAAATGTGATTTGCCTTTCCAGACATCTCAAAGAAGAGCAATTAAGCTATTTAAATTATCAGAGAAGAAACGTATATGCTTAGTGTTAAAACACTAGTGCTATTTTCCTAGAGAATTTGAAATTAATGTGTTTTCAACATCTCTGGAAACAAAGGCATGTGTGGAGGTTTTTGGTTTACTTTCTTAATTGCAACTTCTGTAGCTCCTTAATTTCTGTATATGTAGGTCAGGTCACTACACCACTGATTTTGAGAGCTGTGCATTTTTCAGTTGTCAGAGTTTCTTACACAGATGTTATACTCCAAGCTTTTTGCTGTTAAACTACATAGATACTGTCATTCTGTAGGTCATGTATAAACTAATTATGTGGCTTCTCAGGCTATCATCTGTGAATTACTGATTCAGGAGGGTAGGATCAGAAGTTGTTAACCACTGATGATAGGGGATGGATGCTTGCTTCTTGTCTTCTTTTTTTCTGTTTGTCTGTCTATATTTCCTTTTCCTTTTATGCCGGGCACCTATCTTTTAGAAAGTCTGTACCTAAGTATCCACTTCCAGAGGTGCAGTAGGTGACGTTAGAGCCTTAGGGTGACTTCAGTTTCCAGTGTTGTCGCGCTCACTTCTTAATAACTCGCTTTGCACTTAGGATAATATGGGGGACCACTGCGGAGCTGCTTAGGTATGTATAATTTGCATCAGATAGTGCATTACTTCTTTACTAGGAAATTCAACTTAATATTTCTTGAAATATAAATTTGCTGAAGATTGCTTACATTGTACTGCTTGCATTCATCAGCCATTAGCTTGCCCTTTTTTTTTTTTTTTTTAAGCAGAAATGAGTTTTAGACTGAAAGTTCTGTGTCTCTGGGAAGTGCCAGAGCCCCATATTAGGCTGGGGGGGTGACTGAGAAAGGATACTCTCAGACTGTACCTTTGTGTGGGAGGGACAGATGGCACCTGCACGTTTTGGCAAATAATCATCTGAAAAGTGACCTGCTGGGACCAGTTAGTTTTTCTGAAGACAGTGGTACATTTGTGCTTGCAGTGTCCATACTCTGCTGCTGATGTGTGATGGCTGAATTTTGCCTAGTATATAAATGTGCTTTTTTTTTTTTTCCCCCAGTAAGATACTAGAACTGTGTTATTTAGATTGCAGGCTCAGAATTTCCAAGTTATGAAATTCCAGCTCTTAGGAGTGACTTGACAGTCTAAATCTCGTTTCTCTGTTAGGTATCGTGTACTGGCTCTGTGATCTCTTCCTTGTGGATTTATTTTTTCCCCTCTGCTGCTGCTCATCTTTGTTCTCTATAACAGCTACCTTATCAATTGAGTAGGATGGATACACACAGGAGAAGAATTGCAGTGTTAACTGTGGAAACTGTTTTCTTGTATTTGATTCTTCAGTACAAATAATATGGTTTTGCTGTAATCTCTTCATCTTCTGTGTCAAAAGAGGCATTTAAAATGTGTTTGCTTGATGAAAAACAAAGCCAGTGTCAATATTCATGTTCTTTAAAAATTGCGTGAAACTAGGCTATCGTGGCTATATACTTGGGGTAAATTGAATGTGGTGTAAAATATTTAATTTTCAATATTTTCAAAATATATACTGAGGTAGTGTAATCTGCTTTATTGAAATACCATCCATGGAAGTATAGCTCTGTTAAGTGGAAGCAAATATTCTAAAGTATATAAATACTTGCTTTCATCTTCACTTTTGGTTTCTGCGTGGTATATTTGTAGTGTCTGAAATTAAAAAAGCATTTGAAATGCAATACTTGTACAGAGAGAAAAAAAAAAAAAGCAAAGCTTCACTTTAAAAATAAATAGCAATGCAGTATTACACTTGTTTACCATGTTGTGTACATCAGTTGTGTTGCATCATAGTATTGAAAGAGAACTTAAAGGTTCTTATGAAAGTAGGTAAGTAGCGAGTAGATAACTGAGAGCAAAAATTGCTGAGATTCTTGGAATATTTCTGGCTTCTTTAGAAATCAGATGTGCTGCACATTAACTGTTTTTTCTGTGTTGACCTTTTTATTAGAAAGTGTCTTATTGCTCCTGGTAGTAAACTGGGTTTCTGTTACTTTATGTCTTTAAGGCAGAACCAGTATTCCCTTTTTTTTTATCACTTATCCAATTGAATTGTCCTGAACTTTCTTGCCAAATGATTAAATACAGTCTTGTTATCTCAACACAGGGACCTTGATTGCATCTAAAATGAAGTATGGATCAGAAAATTTAAACAGAAAAGTGATGAAACACAGTATGAGTGGGAAGGAATATTTATAAGGCCTTTGAGACTCTTACAGAATACATTCACGGATGATGCTTCTTAATCATTTATGTGGCTTGTGTGTTTCT